ATTTTCTGTGTAATATTTATTGACTAAAAACAAACATGCAGAAAATCCCGAGATTCAATGAAGACATAGTAAAAATAGAGAGAAACACCCTTCCCCCCAGCCTCATTCCCAGAGCCCCTGATGTCTATGTGTCATTCAATCAGAAGATTCACACCTTTGGGATGGTATCTATTACATCTTTTAATCTTTTAGCGCTACAGTCCTGTAACATTTTGAGGCTTTACTTCTCTCTGGTCAGCCTGAATGCTAAAAAACACAGTTCAGATTCCTAGGCATACCTAAGTCAATAAAAAGTCTCAGAACTGGAAATAGTACATGTTCTTAAAATTGTACTTAAAACCTCAGACGCAGTGGTTCTAAACCTTCCTAATACTGGGACCCATTACTACAGCACCTCATGTTGTGGTTACCCTCACCCATAAAATTATTTCATTGCTTAACTGTAATTTTGCTACTGTCATGAATTGTAACATAAATGTCTGAAATACTACTGGGGGTGTGTGTCCCGATTCATAGGTTCAGAAGACAATATATTATTTTCTATTTGGTGAAATAAGAGACAAACTTGTTTTTTCACAATTCATAAATTGTCTCTATTGAGGGCAGAAAGAATTGTATAGACACACTTAGGACAGAGTGTTAAATTCTTAACTCCTGGCTCTTCTCTTGTCTCAGGCCCCGCCTTGTCTCCTAAGCCTTTTCATAGGATGAAGGTAAGAAGGGCGGGAATTGGCTGTTGTTCCCGCCCCTTCCCTTCAGGTTTTCAATCAGGTCCGCCATGTTATTATAAAAGCCAGACGGGCGCCTGTTATAGCCACTGGGCAGTGAGCTTAGTTTCTAGTGTAGAAGGATGTCTGGACGTGGGAAAGGGGGGAAGGGCCTTGGTAAGGGCGGTGCTAAGCGCCACCGTAAAGTCCTCCGCGACAACATCCAGGGCATCACCAAGCCCGCCATCCGCCGCCTGGCCCGGCGCGGAGGAGTGAAGCGCATCTCCGGCCTCATCTATGAGGAGACCCGCGGTGTGCTGAAGGTGTTCCTGGAGAACGTGATCCGCGACGCCGTCACCTACACGGAGCACGCCAAGCGCAAGACCGTCACCGCCATGGACGTGGTCTACGCGCTCA